TGACACCCTTCAAGTTTTTTTGATTTTTACGATAGAAAGAAGCATCGAAAATTTTCAGGGAACACATATTCTTGATCGCCGTAAAATTCTCTATCGAATGGTGTCTGAAACATCGAAAAAAAAATTTCTGCTCGAACCTTGCTTTGCGTGCACCTTATAATGAGTGAAAAAAGTTGAGCGTATGATGAGAAAAATCTTTTCTTCTCTTTTTTCAAATTGAAGGAAAAACTGTAAGAAAAAATGGATTTTCATCATTCGATGAGTATACGTCAAAATCATCTCTGGTATTACGAATAGATTTTTATTTATTGATTTTTGTTAAAAGGTTTACTAAACTTTTAGCAATTTTCAAACAAAAAACTTGAGCATGTGCGATTATATTTTCATTCTTATATCTAAGCTATAAAAAAGAAAGCAGGGAATAAGAAAGTGGGGGAACGAAAGAAGGGGAACATTTGAAAGTGAAAATTTCAGCTTTATTTTAAAAGAAGTTTAGAAAAAGATCTTGTTTTTTTATCATCTTAAAAAAAATTAATTTTTTAAATTCAACTAGAAAACTTCGAAAACTGAAAAGTTTTTCATTTAAATCAGAAGTAAATTTTAAATTTACTGAAAAGTACAATAGACTATAACATTCAAAATCTAGTTGATGAGTGGCTCCTGTCGATGTTTGTCTTAGCCAAATTCTCTGTAAACTAGCTTCACAACATGAGTGAATGATTTTCGAATAGTTTATAAATTTTAAATAAACGAGAAAAAAAACTGTAAAAGGTCTGTATTGTTGACTGATTGTTTTGAAACTCAATGTCAATAGCACAAAAAAAATTTAAAATCATGACAATAGAACTTTTGAAAAACAGTATCTTTTCAATTTATTCGTACTGAATCAATTACTTCGATAGATTACAATTAAAAACCACAACATGAAGGAGAATATGATCATAGAGGTGCACATCATTCTTTTACATTTCATGGTTGAGCAATCTTTCTTCTGTCTTGCGTTATAGCAATAGACAGGGTAAAATCTGGATAATATAAAAAGGATGACGTGTAATCTCGTGATTATTTCTCGTGATTATTTCTCGTAGGAAGTATGTTAAAAAATACTTTTCATCGAATAGTTGACGAAAGAACATTTTCAAACTATTCATTCTAAAGATTTTCAAATATTATCTTTGATGGGACTCACGAATCTAATCTTTATTTGCGTTCATAGAACTTTTTAGAACCGTTTTTTGAAGATTAAATCTCTCAAGATACACGATATACTTTTCATTTAACACATATGGATACCACCAGATTATAATGCAGCATAGATCGAATTCATACGATTTGCGATCGCATCAGGACCGTAAGTAGATGTATGCGACGGTCGTTTTCATTGTTCTGGGAAGTCGAGTTATATATCGAGAAGCAAATTTTCAGACCTTTGTGCAGTGATGAAAAAAGATTCATCTTACTCTATTAAGAAACTTGAGATTTTCTGCTTCTTTTATTCTGAAAAGTTTCTAGTACTTCTAGTCATTGCGAAACAAAGTTCGTTCGTCTTAAAAATTTATATTTGCATAAATAAATCGAAATAAAAAATTAAAATCTATAGTTTTTATTGAAATTGAAGTGAAACGTTTGGAAATATTCTTTTGTGAGACTTTTTACTATTTTTTATTCCACTAGTATTTCATATATCCATAAAACTATGAAATGATCGGTATCGTGACTATAAAAACAGCAGAAGGCGTGTAATTTATTTCTAGTATAAACCTTTTATTTAAAGAAGAAAAACAATAGTAAATAGAAGAATATGGCACCAGATAACATCAAATAGAAATAAAATTCTGTGCGTGAATGATTTTTAGTTTTGACAACAGACAATGACAGCTGCAGAATAGGTGTAGATAATCTAACTGAATTTCTGTGTTTGCAATATAGTTACACACTATATCATAGACAAATTTAAATTTATTTTTATCTTTAAAGTTTGATCGTAATAAAAGCGTGTTTAAGTCTATTTTCATGTCTACTTTCTTCAATGTAGTGAGTGACAAGGGTCAATCTAGCCTGATCATAAACTGCACACTCAAAGAAAAAGTGCTTTGGATCTTCGACCCACCTATCAGATTATTGTTGTTGCATGAGCTTTCTGCGAGATTTATTTGGGAGAATGAGCTTCTTGCATCATTTTGCTGTCTTTCTCTCATATATTTAACGTGTCGCACAAACATAGCATTACGATCGACGAAAATGCGAGAAAATTTAAAAAGAGAATAAAAACTAAAAGTAGGCTGAGACACGTTTCCTCACGCACACACACTATCACCATGGTCTTTAAAATGATAAAGACGATCGTATGTTCAAGTTTTATTATTTAAAAATTTAGAATATCTTTTAAAAAATCGTCATCGAATCGAAATAAAGGACTTTAGACATTAGAGATGGTCGAGACATAGGCCTATCCAATTATATTATGAGAATCTTTGTATCATTTTCTGTTTACAACCAAAAAAGAAGCCTCCTTGTACACTGAGCTGTTTTATCCACTGTTCATGTTTTTGGAGTGAACCACTAAATACTACATTCATAGTCCAAATGCACGTTTTACTATTCTTAAAAGTTTATCATTTTATCGGATTAATTGAACATAATAAGGAAACTAAATCAGGAAATATTTATTTTTGAACAGAGTGTGTTATACAAGCAGAGATTCCAGTGACCTGTGTGCAAGGTTGATGCGTTCAAACTTACTCTCATCTAACATTTTTATTTTATACTCTGTTCGAAAATAGCTCACATATTTCGTCTGTTTCGTGTTCGTATCTGGTAACTTGTTTGATTTAACCATTCAATTAGGAAGCGAAGAGTAGTTATCTGGATGTTTTGCAAACAGTGTTACATCTGCCATTAACTTAAGACAAAATTACAATCTGATTTAAGTTCAATTGAATAGCATGTCGTAGTCTATTTTAAACCAACATAAATTAAATCACAATATTTGACAAATAGTTAAAGTAAGCCGAGAAGATCTATAAGTTTGCCTGAAATATTGAGAGTTTAGTAAGATATCTAATTTAATTTGAGCTTGAATTTATTGTGAAGTGACGGTTAAGCCATGAATCTTCTAGAAGCACTGAAAATATGATTAGAAAAATGAACATACACATTGTATACTATCTATTCTTTCTTCTCGGTTTCGCGCATGAACGTCATTGTTGTAATAAACAAAAGCAAGAAGAGTTTTTGTCCTGTACACTAAGGCAAATATTTTGCATTACAACGTAAACGTGTAAACTAAGAAACTAGTCTCGCATCCTCTCCCAGAAATACATTTCACTTCTTTCGTAAGAACTAATGAAATTATTTGTTTCAGTCTATTATTCTGTTTTGGATAGAAATATGTTGACAACAAAAAGTCAGCAATTCTTTTCACAGCATTAAAAAAAGAATTTAAAATTACTATCATACTGCAACAAGTGCAAAGAGTTGACGAAGTTAACAGAGAAACAGTCTCTATACGACAAGAAGCATTTGAAGAGACCAAAAATGAGTTTAAATTCGAGAAGAGAGATCAAAGAAAAATGACGTTTGTTAGCAATTATACATAGTCACATACACAGAAAAGATACAAAGACAAAATCATCCAACAACACTATGTATCTATATATTAAATAAAAAAATACAGAATTATGTACGACTTTTACAAAAACTTGACATTTTTTAAAGAGACATTGTCGCAGTAAAAAGATATATAAAATTATCCTAAATATGCTGTGGCAATGCAACATAATATAAAAATTTGAGCGTGACTCACACTGAAATGAATCGTTGATTAAGTAACCTATGACTAATTATTCTTCAACAGATAAAGTTTCCGATTTTTTGGCATGTAAATGTACATCAGTTAATACAGAAAATTGACTAAAAAGTAAGTATTATTAATAGCAGAGATGATAATAATGAAAACTTATTTTCTCACAACAAAAAATCGTTTGCTTTAATGGTTCAAAATACAACTAACAATAATAATAATGATTATTTATTGTTTACTTTTAGTGGTATATTCGATGTGATGTGCATGATTTAATCACATGTCAAATTAAAGATCATACTATGAATTTCTTTACTACAATAAACAATTAATCAGTACAATATGTAGAAAATATATTTTGTAATACGAAATGGTAAACAAATATTTTAAGAATTTTTTTCTCTCATTCTGTAGTCATTATGTAAATTTTTGTATTCATTATACTGGAAATATCTCCTGAAATTTTTAGTAGTGTTCATTGGTCTATTTGATGTGGAATGTTAAAATCATTCGTAGTACTAATTGATCTCCCTACTATTCTAGCTAAGATGCCAGTTTTAGTTTCATTTTATTTAGCTTAAATCTAAGCAGAGAAACAGGGTAAGCCCCGGCTTATAGATACTGTTCCAAAAAATCTTTCAGAAGATGTCTACATCTACTATAGATGTTTATTTTGGAATTCAATAGATGTTTACTGGTCTGATCTTTCATTTTTAGATTTTGCTTTTTTTGCATTATCTCTTCCTGTCATAGAACAGTGAAGTTTTTATATTTTTCTACTAATGTCTATATAAAATGAAAGGTCTTGTTGCATTAATTACTGGTGGTGCATCTGGATTGGGTTTAGCATGTGCTCAACGGTTTGTTCGACAAGGTGCACGCGTTATCATCTGTGATTTACCAACGTCAAAAGGTTCACAAGTTGTTCAAGCATTGACTGATATGACACAATCCGTAGCCGCTAAATCAAATATTAATAATCCAGATGATGAAGATGACCAACTCGGTAGCAATAGTGATGATTATACAAATGTTGATACAACACAAACGGGAAATGTAAGTTACAACAGGAATGTGTGTAAATTAATATTTCTTCCGTGTGATAAAGGTTGATTTAGAAGAACATCAGAAATTACTGAGAGGCCAACAAATAGCATCAGATACATCATCATCATCATCATCATCATCATTATCATCACAACAAGCCATTTTTTATCCAGGTGATGTTACAAATGAAAATGATGTTCAACAAATATTTGACCGTATTAAACAAACGTACGATCGATTAGACGTCGTTGTAAATTGTGCTGGAATTGCCTGTGCATTTCGTACATATAATATAAATAAACGATCGATGCACGGTTTAGGAGAATTTCAAAAAGTTATTAATGTCAATGTTTCGGGAACATTTAATGTTTTGAGACGGGCATGCCATTTAATGGCTGATAATCAACCGAATGAAAATGGTCAACGTGGTGTAATTATTAACACAGCTAGTGTTGCTGGATATGAAGGACAAATTGGACAAGTGGCTTATGCAGCGAGTAAAGGTGCCATTGCATCGATGACATTGCCATTAGCACGAGATTTATCGAATATGGGTGTCAGAGTTTGTGCTATTGCTCCCGGTGTATTTCATACGTCGATACTAAATGCATTACCAATAAGAGTTAAACTATTATTAGGTAAATGAATGAGAGATAGACACTTTTAATTGAAAGTCTAAAGTAAAACAAAACGTTAGCATTTACAAATATTAAGTATTATCTGATTTCTTTATGTTTTAGGTAATATGGTACCATTCCCTAGTCGTGTTGGTAAACCAGATGAATTTGCTCACATGGCACAATCAATTATTGAAAATCCCTATTTAAATGGTGAAGTTATTCGTTTAGATGGTGCATTGAGAATGCCACCATAAATATGAATTTTGATTATTGTTTTTTTCACTGTTAACAATGTTACATATTTTCTATTGATACGTCTGTTGCTTTTTTTTCTGGAATAACTTCATTTTAACATTCCAAGTTTTTTTTTCTTTATGATCATTCCATTTTGTTGAAACCTGAATAAATAAAAAAATATAAATCTTGTCGATGTAACAGATGAAATGAGAGACTACTGGCTAATTTGTTTTCTTAATATAAATGCATAACGCTTTAAATGGTTGATACATAGGATGATTAAAGCATCTCTATAGGTTCTTTTTCGATATTTCGTGTGAGAATCGTTACACTCTTTTTCTGTGTATATTTTATTTAATTTTCCGATTTAATCGTAACTTTAAAGAGAATTATTTATTAATTTTTCTAATGAGTAATATTAATGGATCATTCATTTAGTTTCATTTCTTTTTAATTCTCTCATTTGAGATGTATAAATTATTATTCGAATATGCTTGAGAGAGAAAACCGAAATCTTTACAACTTCATCGTATATTCCATTACACAAAATTGTTTAGGAATATTAGAAAAAAACATGTAGATTGATACAAAACTAATAAGTTCGTCTTAGAAACAAGTCAAAAGAGGAAACCTCTACTATATCTAACTCAGACGTATAACTGTTTTTGGCATTTTCTCTACTCTATTCGAATAATAAATACATTGATCACATTTTTATAGATATCTATTATTACGTGAAATTTATCTTGTTTTTTTAGATTCATTTTATTTAATTCAGTTACAAAATATGCAACAACGAACGCGTAACACTCAAAAATCACAATTTGGTATTATTTTATTGATATTTGAATTAACTCGAGCTAGTCACATACCACCGATTACATTAGTCATCATTGGTTTAAATATTCTAATCTATTGGGATATGATACCAATTTCAATACTTGAATCATCCGATTTAGAAAGTGTATGTCTTAGTACAAATTATGTTTATGATATGGGACAATATTCTCGTCTATTTTTCGCTCCATTATTTCATGGTGATGATATGCACTTGTATTATAATATGGTATCATTTCTATTTAAAGGACAACAGTTAGAAACATTATTCGGATCAAAATATTTTGCTATTCTTGTTTTTGTTTGTTCTCTATCATCTAGTATAATGATTGTTTTACTAGGTCAAATAGCATCAGTTTTGTTTGAAAATCCATCATTTGCATCTCAATGTGCAATCGGTTTTTCAGCCGTAATATTTGCATTAAAAGTAATTACAACACATTATACACCAGCAGATAGACATTATGTATGGGGAATACCTGTTCCGACAAAATATGCTGTATGGGCAGAATTATTCATTATACAATTTATTACGCCAAATGTATCCTTTTTAGGTAACGTAAATTTTCTCATATCTATCTAATTGGATTGTCTACATATACTTGACTGTCTATGTTTATTTGTTTTCTATAGGTCATTTGGCTGGCATTATTGTTGGTTTATTGTATGTAAATGGTCCAATACAATATATTTGTGAAAGTATATTTAATCTAATTTCATAGTTGTACATATTTTCTTGTTATTGAGTCGACTTTGTTGATAAAAAAATATTGTCGTAAAAAACTTTTTATCAAGAGTGATTAATGTCTAATATAAACTATAGTGTGTGATAAAGAAAAAGATCCCATTAATCTGGATTATATTGGGCTATCAAAATTATCAATAATAAAATGAAGAAATCTAACTCGCTTCAATATACGAGATATTTTTTTTATCATGCGGATATATATAGACATAAATATACCATTGATGTTTAACTCACTCAAATAGCAATTTACTTTCTGATTATGCTTCGGTTTAGTGGTGGTGAACGATTTTTTGCACATGATATTAAATTAATTTGTATTGGGGTTTGTACAGCGCGAAACAACAATGAACGAAATAGGAATTTTTTATCAATTACTATCTACAAATGTTAATCATTATTCTCTAGCTATTTTGATTATTGTAAGTAATTGTATATTTCGAACAATAGTTGAATGAAAGAAGAATTTGTTGTAATTGTTTTTATCTAATTTTGATATTGATTATGGTTAACATATGACTGTTGAATAGTACGATTATCAAGTATTGATATATTTAACAAATGAAATTTAACATCATCATTATCATTGATAGTCAAACATCCAGAGCTTGATTATATGAACAATTGTACCCTTAGAAACTTTAATGAAAAAAGAAAAGTATTACAGTGGTAGACGCAAAATTTATTATGCTCATTTTGCAAGAGAAAGTAAAGACAAGAACTTAGAATATCTAACCTATATAAACTGAAAACATCTATCTTTTATTTGTTTTTTATATTTTATATTTTGTTTTTCATTATACTCTTTTGCCGCTTCGAACGAATATCTATCATACAATAACAGGGGCATAGATCTAGTTAAATTACTCTTATTTCTGAAATATAAATGCATTTTCTATAGCGTCTGTCTGTCTTACGGACAAAACATAATAGTCTTCAAGTGGAAGGATTTTATTAGTTAGACTTAGATCTAAAAACTTTAAAAGTGAGAAAAATGATGGCTACTTTTTAATTATTCCATTTTCAATGATCACAAAAATCTTTTTTATCTGCATTGTGTGATTCAAATTTAAATGTATTCACTGATTTGAATAATAAAGTGCAATATCTAAATGAACTTTCTATCGAAATATGTTAATTAGGTATGCACCGGTATCGATCGGTATACCGAATACCGAAAATACCGAACTTCGGTATATACCGATACCGAAAATACCGACTTTTTTTGATTTGGAATTTTTTGGATTTTTTCATTTGAAATGAGGTATTTTAGCATCCTGGACAAGCAGAACGTATAAACAACACTCAGCTGTGTATTTTGAGCATGTTCAGATAGAAAGAAAAGAAAAACTTTGGC